CGTGTCGTATATTGACTTTTAAGATTGATTAACTTCGTTTAATGAGATTGATTTATTACGATATACGGTTTATTTATAGAGAAAAAAGATTCTTGAAATTGTTTGCCTCTAGCATCATAATTCCATACAGTTGTAACGAGGAACCAGGAATCTTTAGAACAAAGGGCAAGTTTACACACTTGATCTACGAAGATGCGTTACGTGAATCCGCTTACGCATAGTAAGCGCGTGTACGCGCGGATGTCGTGTAGTACGTGTGTTGATTGCACGCTATGATGATTCGCTATTGTGTCGTGAGAGCGCCATAACAGCGTTCTCTTTTACCACCCACACATCCTCGCGCGCATCTCGTAATATTTGTGAGAATTTCTCGATCCAACTTGCATATTTCCATTTTCGTCTTTGTCGCAAGGAAATAGCATATTGACTCCTTACGATCGAAATTAAATTTACTATCGAATAAATCAGCGTTAAATATCCCCCCCCTCTCTCTCTCTCTCTCTTTCAGCCTTTCTCATTCGAATGTTTGACTTGAATGTTCAATTTCAACTGTTACACTTGTTTCGCATGAAAAAATCAGCACTTACGTAAGTTATACTTATGATCGAAACGCGATCGTGCCTTTATAATTTTTTTATCGGCACTAAAAGGCCGTTCGAGCAGTGGCATTTCGTGGTCGGTGAAAGCGTGCGTTACGTCGAGGGAGACTTTTTGATACGGAAACACACACACACACACGTGAATGAACGCCGTGCAACGTGTACCGTTGCTTGCTTAAAGACCGAGGACATGATGTCGATTCAAGAATTCGCTAAGATAATCGCGCGAGAGGAATCAGCGAAAATCGAGGCATTTCCGTATCAACGATTTTTCGAGAAAAACGAACGCCAGCGGAGTGCCTTATCGAGCACGCTCTTTCTTATTAAAGGACACGAAATTGATAAAAACCGATTTAGTTCCGCTTTCTCGAAGCGAATGACGGCTTTTCTTGTGGAAGTTTGTTTTATTACGGAATCTATTTTCTCTTCTTCTTCTTTTTTTTTTTTTTTCATATAAAGGAGAGATTCACTTCAGGATGGTCTTATCAAAAAAATCGTATAAATTCCGCGATTACATTTTACGGAGTTTATCTGTGACATGTATATCTTTTAATGAGCACTTACATTAGAATGATCGCGTGCCTCTGCTTACGTATATCTGGAAAACACGGCTGTTCTTTTTTTTTTTTTTTTTTTTCCGGGGATTCGTTGAGATGCATTGCACGCGATAATAATTACGACTATAATATATGCAACGCCATCACTGATGGTTATACATTAGCATGCATAGCGGGATCAGTTTACCTTGAAATCTCGCGACGTAGTTCGCGACGACGAAGCGAAACGTCAACGCGTATTCACGGTACGTCGCGTGTCTATTGTGCTCACAGCTGATTATCTCGATACAAAATTCGTCCTAGATTTATCGCTTGCACTCTCGATTGTTCCTATGAAAAATTAGGGAAATCGTGCTCGTTTTTTAAGAGCGGAGAAAGGTACATCGTTGTTTAAATTCACTCACTCAGATCCTTCGCGAGAAAGTCGCGCCGAGAGACACTCTGTACGACATATCCTATATATTGCTTTTTTTTTTTTTAATGTTTAAAGAACGGCGAGTTTTAGCGAGGACCATGTATGCAGCATGCATACGATATTAGCGCACGTTTTACTTTCCGTTAGAAAGAGAGAGAGAGAAAGAGAGACGAGGATAGCGTCTTGAAACCCGAATGTATTTTTCGGACAGTTAAATTGATTCAATTTTAAGTAACGCAAATTTAATTTTAAAACAATTATAATAATTTTGTTTACAGGCGTAAGTTTTGTCACAGTTGCTATTAATTATGTTTTATAAATATTAATATATTATTGTTTCTCTGCATACTTTAATCCATGCAATTGATCATCGTATCTCTCTTACATTCTTTGAAACTTCTAACAAAAAAAAAAAAAAAAAAAAAAAAAAAAAAAGAAAAATTTAACGCGTTACTTATTACAAAAAATAGTGCGCAAATAAAAAAAAAAAAATGGAGAATGTTATATCGAAGAACATTTATTAAGGCTCTCCATTTTTTATATTGGGTAACATTATATTACAACGTCAGAGATGAAAAATCACATGAGTTTTTTTTTCTTTCTGGTTCCTTTATAGCTGATACAAATCATGATCGATCCTTGTAAAGTCCATTTTCATTGAAAATCTAGGACACGTTCAGATTAAATTATTAATCAAAGGGACAATTAAGAAGCGAGTATATTCTACTAAATCTTTCTCTCTCTCTATATATATATATATATATATCATTTGAACGTGCGTGGTACGGATGAGAAATTTAATTTACTTGGAGCTCTTTACTTATATAGTGTGAGGAAAAAAAAAATTCGCAATGATTTCTCGCCTCTGACGATCCGGTATTGCCCGCAGTGATGGATTACCGTCAAACGTCATAAATAGAAGAAAATGGTGGAAGAAAACGCGAGGAGCGTGCAGCTTCTTGCGGTACAAAGTCGGGAGAAAACGGGGATCTTTCCGCGCGTCGTCGTCGTCGTCTCGTTTCCCCTGTCGCGGGACGCGCGCGGACGAACGTTTCGGCCCCGGTCGAGTCATCGATTTCCGGGAGGAATGCGGGAGCTGCGTCCCTTTGGCCTCTGGTTCGCCGGAGCTCTACGGGCGCTCTCGATTTTCCCGGCGTTGGCTCCTCGTTCCCTCCCGCCCCGGTCCCCCCCTCTCTCTCCCTTTCTCGCCTGTTCCGGTCACCCGTCGAGAGATTTCGATCGGGATGGACGAGACGAGTCTTGAACGTGCCATGTTTGTCGCGTTGAAGATTGCGAGGCCATGGAAACTACGCGGGATGATACGCGGTTCTCTCTCTCTCTCTCTCTCTTTCTCTAGGAGAACGAGGACCAACAGCTGCTGCAGTTTGCAGTCGATACCGCCGCTGCGCCGAAGCAACGCGAGACGACGGGGGGTTGAAGGGAGTTCTCATGCAGTAACGAGAACCGTGCTCTGGATATTCGATATTGGATCGCTTGATCAAACCTCTCCCGCTTCAAGTCCCTTGCCGATCTTCGGTCGACTCGAATTCGAGTAGAACGGAAGTCTCTCGACTCTTAATCTGCACGCGAAACGAGAAAATATCGAGGAGATCGTCGTACATTTTAATTCCCAACGTTGAATATCCTGTAATAAAATGGAGGTTCCATAAGCGACACCTCCATATTGCTCTTATAATAATTATAATCTTTGCGAAGTAGTAAGAATCTTGGAAACAACACTCAAAAAAATGTCTTGCTGATATAGGTAGATTTCTAGGTGACACAACAAAAATTTATCGCTATTTTTTGTATCTGTTAGAATATTGTCTGTTACATATAGAATTTATAGCAGCAATATTCTAATAATATCTTCTAGAAAATTTAGGTCCTATTGCCAAATGTTAATCACTGCATTGGATAAATATGAGTTTCGATACTACAGCTAGAACGATCTTTGTGAGAAATATAACTGCCAATTATAACTGCAGCATCGAAAAATTGAGAGAAATTGTTTAAAAGAGCTAGATAGATTGGGCGCATTATACAAATATGTTATATGTGAGGATTATATATTCATTTGTTTCTTGCCGCTAATTTTTTTTGTGTACCACAGCCAAACTTTATAACGAGTATGATTGGCCTTAACATGGATAGGCGCCACAGAAAAACATTCTTTCTAATTTTCACAAACAGTTCAGATATAAATTCTGTCTCTGTCACTTAGATTGATTAAATGCGAAACATATGCGATATCACAGTATTTGCTAATCATTTATGTACCTCAGTTAATTTTGCGCACCCAGAAAATTTTTGCTGTAGTTGCAATACCACTTTTTTGAGTGAATGTTGAGAGAGCTTCTCCTCGGCTTTAATCTGGACAGAGATCTGTAGCACAGTCAAGGACGTCGATTGCCAGAATCACTTTAATTCGCGCGTCAATATCCACGAGGACAAAAAAAGAAAACATCCTTGAGACTGATTGGTAACTCTATCTCTCTATGGCTTTAATTCGGACAATTCTCTCTCTCCTCTTTATTTTTCGCCCACCACATTTGTCTACGTTTGTGCGCTCGCCTACGCTAATTAGTCGGTCGTCGGGTACATTTGTCTGTCGCAAAATCGGCTTCGAATCGAAGCATACGTTGGATACGGACGACGATAAGTGGTCGTAAATGCATTTCTTTTGCATAAAGCTTATTATTAGTCACGTTCCAGTAGCAAGCTCTCTAATTGTAGTTTGACCTTCCTTTTTTTTTCCCCTCTCTTTTTTATCTCTCATTCTTCTCCTTCATCACATACTTTGAAAATACGCTATTAATTAAATACTGTTATTAGAAATCTCTTAATTATTCTCTTAACGAATCTCTTTTTTATCTCTCATTCTCCTCTTTCACTATACACTTTGAAAATACGCTATTAGTTAAATATTGTTATTAAAAATCTCTTAATTATTAATGCACATATATTAAAGATTTATAAATTATATTATTATACGCAGAATGTGTGCAAGGCATTTTTTATCTATAAATTCTTTGACTAATTTTCAGTCAACTTTTCCTTAGCGAAAAATCTCGAGATAAATATTTGCCTTTCTTTTCAAAATTTCTTGTACTAAATATTTAATCTTTAAATGATGAATGAATCTATCATAATAAAATTTACTCGAAACTAAATGTGTAGAATAAGATATTTTTTGTTAATTAAATAAATAAATATAAATAAATAAATTATCTTCTTACATTTTTCTAAAACTTTGTTGCCGAAAAACCGCTCGATTTCAATCGTTGGTGACTTAGAAACAATCTCTCTGTTAAAGAGAAATTGGCTTCGAGTTGATGAAAGAATCCTAGTAAATGAAAAAGAGATGATTTCGATAAATCTGAAATGGCCTTCACGCGTATAATTAACAAACGTATTAATTTGTTACAGGTGCAGTTGAGAAATTTACTGTGAAAATGAGTTGCGCGTCGCAGTGCGCCAAGTACTTTCTCTGCTTCTTCAACTTTGTATTCTTCGTAAGTATATGAATTTTCGTATAATAATAGTGATCTAAACCAACGTCTGCATTTCCTGCGTCTGTACTTTGCGAGACGTCGCGATCGCGCAGCTGATAATTCATCAACGTCACAACTGGCCACGATCCACGATCGCGTAATTGCTCGAATCCTCGCTTTGGGGGCCACATCACATTGAAACACATTTTTCACTCGTTTCATACGTATGTGAACAAATTATAAGTGTCTGATAGGACACTAATATCTCAAATTATGGGAGCGTTAACGTTGCGAAAAAAATTGCTATCTATCTCGTGATGACAGAGTACATTTGTATACTTTCAAAAATCTCTTCTGATAATTAAAAAAAAAAAAAAAAAAACACCATTCAATTTATTTATCTTGATTTCTTATTGTGGATATATCTTATCAGAAGCGAACGTGGAAATAAAGTTTAGTTTCGCGTGTTCGATAGATTGATAAAATATATCTCGAAGATTTTCTCATCTTTCACGTACTCTTTATTGGGACAAATACATGTGTAATTTAATGTGCCTGCGTGCGATCGCAAGTGAAAATTGCCAAGCCCCTGCTTCGAGTTCTGGGCCCCGTTTCCTTTGGTCAACCTTCAAAGTCCATGAAGCAGAACGGAGATATATACACCGAGGTGCTTCGTGTTTTGCAGGTCGCCGGAGGAGCGGCGTTGACTGTCGGTATCTGGCTTTTCGCCGACAGAGGCTCGTTTACCAATCTCATCGGGAAGCTCGACCAAACCGACATTTTGGTAAGAATATGAATAAATCATATAAATTGTAAAAATGGTAGCGCGCGCCAAATGTGTATTTTTTCTACCTTATTTCCGAGAAAATCGCATTATGATTCACCACCTGTTTGTGTTTGGCCAAGCACGAAAATAATACAAGCGCTCCGATGTTTGTCTTACAAATGCGTGGATAGAAACACGGCGAAGCCAAAAACTTTAATTTTAAGGAGGCATACCCTCGAAAACTGAGTACATTTTCTAGATTTTTTTGCAGCGCAACAACTTGATAAAAAATTTATTTTTTTAGAATATTGATAAATATTATTAAGTACTCAAAAAAAAATGTACAGCTTAAGAAAGATTTTTTTGAAAATTATGCGAATATTGTATTGTATCAATATCGTAAAAAAAAAATTTTATCAAGTCGTTGCGTTGCAAAAAAATCTAGAAAATGTACTCATTTTTCGAAGGTTCAAACGGGTATGCCCCCTTAATTTAATTGATCGTAAAACGAAATCTTTCACAAAATCGCGATCGAAGGTATAATATTGTCTTTCAATATCTTGAGGGAACTGGACAATTCTTGGCGAAAATACCGGTTCGTATACGAGCGTTTCGTTGTGTTAAATTACTGCTGCAAATCTACGAGTGCTTCTCTACCGCTTTCTTATTCGCAGATAAAATCGCGATAATTTCCGTGACCGACGTGTATCCTGAAATCTTAGACGGAACAAATTTCAGGCGAAAAATATTTAATTAAGCGTCTCGTTTTCAAAAACTAACAGTTCTGTCGACAATTCTAATTACGCTCGCGAATATTAATCAATTTTCTTCGCTAACTTTATTACCGTTTTTTTTTTTTTTTTAAACTGCTTCACGCTTCTTTGCTCCTCTCGCAAGAGAAAGAATTTCCGAGCAGAGTTTCCGGTCTCTCCGCACTGGCTTATATGTTAGAGAAAAAATGGCTCGTGCGTATCCTTATAACCGGCTATTTATATTACTCCAAGTTTCTCTTGCGTAATCTTGGTAATTATGTTGTAAGCTTGTTATGCAATTTGGAGGTAGGTGCAACAAGAAAGTTTTTTACTCCAACGAGACTGGATTTGGTGTTACTGATACACGCGCGATTATGTCTTATATATTTCCGTACGTATACAATATATACGTGTACGTAGATTATTCTTGACGCTTCCTTTTGCCGATAAATCCTCTTCGTTAGCATTGAAAAACTATCTTTATACTAGCGTGACTTTTATTCATTAACAAGCACGTGTGAGAAATGCAGATGTGTAACAAGATATGCGCGATGTATATATATATGTATTGTAATACAATACCATTGTCTGTATTATCGATACGTCAGTGTCCCGACGACACGCGCTTATTAACTATTAACTTAACGTGATTTTCCTATAAACGTCCTTGTGGAACGAACATGCAAAGCGTATTTCTTTCACGAATTCTTTCATTTTTCTTGAATTTTTTCACGAAGCCAAATCTTTTACTCTTTGATATAATAATAATAATAAAATTATATAAAATATATTTTTTTGTATAATCGAATGAATAAACAAATGACATCTCTCTCCAAGCTTTCGATGAGTTTCAAAATTTCTATAAAATCTCTATGGGAAATTAGTTTTAGGTCAGCTTACCGGAGATGAAAACTCATTTTTTTTTTTTTCAGAAAGATGTCAAATGTACGAGAATATTTAATAGTCATAACGTACGGTTGCTAGGTTTTTTTTTAACCGCAAGTCGCATAGAGATACGAGATAATCTAACGTTCAACGAGGTACTTGACTCTATAAACTGCGAGGAGAAAAGGCATAAAAAGACCTACTTGCCTTAAAGACCGTCACGATTAACGAGAACAATAGAGAATATATACTTCCTTTGAATAATTATTATTGTATGCTCCTTTTCTTTATCCTGCGCATTTAATTATCTATTATTAGCGATATCACGTGCCTATTTTTTCTCTCCGTTTTTGTAGCATTTTCATAAAGCGCAGAAGGGTTACACAAATAATTTTGGTTTGACGTATGAAACCAAATGTATCTCGTCTAATACGGAAGATGCCTGTATATAGGAAAAGGAGCACGTACAAAGATATTCTCAAAACAAATAAAAAGAAAAGAATCCTTTTCGCACAATAATTTTTTTATGCCGGCAAACGTAGCGTAGAAAAGTGTGTGCGCTGTTAATTATTATAGTTAGACGATGACCCATCGTAATGTGCGCATTCTAATACGTTGCACCTCTGCTTCGAGAGTCTTCTTATCACTCGCTAATTAACATTTATTCTGTTAGTTTCATTTTATCTTCCGAATCTCGTTCGATCTTGATTGCGACGGTTATTTTCGATTCGAAGATATAAAAAATAACGAGCATAATTTTTAGATTTCATTTACATACAATATCCTCTTCTTATTTAAATTGGCAAATATCTTAACATATGATTTATTCATTTTTTTTTGGGGGGGGGGGAGCCCAGTGAGCGAGTGAGTGATAAGAAAAATTTGACTGGCAGATTGTTTGCACGCACAGCGTGATGTACGACGTAGGTGGATGGCAATGCTACCGCAGGGAGAGAAACGAGAAACGTAATTATCGGTACTTGGCCGTTGATGAGATGATTGGTTGTCACATTAGCGGAACGCGTGGGAGGATGGAGGTGATCTTCATCGCGGATTCGTGGTTCATAGTCCATTGGTGGACACGTATAGGGGCCAAAGCTCTCGAACGGTTTGACGTTTCTTCTGACAATCCGCGAATATTCAATCTTAATATGTCGGGGGACATTGTCCAAATTTTTCTTTTTATATTTACATCGTGTATTGCTCACGACGATGGCGGAGCTAGATAGCGGAACGCCAGGAAAAGTAAAAGTGCCGCTTTCGTTTTTCATGTATTTCGCGCAAACGGCGAAAGGATAACGCGCGCGTTTCCTCGTGATAAATCAAATTATTACAGTGATAAATATCAACTTAAATGCACGATATATGTATAAAGATCTTTTCAATTTTTTTTTTGTAATTTATGATCCTATTAAATATAATATGGAAGAAAAATTAACGCTATTATTATTACTTGCGCGTTATTAGCGAAGACTCGAGACGCTTAGAAAGTCGCTTCTAATCATTTCTAATCGGAGACGGACTATGACTCGTAATTGTTGTCTCTCGTACAATTAGAAACTCCTCGCGAATAGAATTCTCGATTTGAAAATAAAGTGAGTTAGTTGCTTAAGATGTTGTGCCTTATCTAACCGTCAGTCTGTTGATTGCTTAAGATGTCGAGTCTTAACTAGCCTGATAGTTGCTTATCTTTGGAGAGAATTTATTAGGTCAACTGAAAAAGCTAGAATTTTCATCAAGGAAAAAAAAATTGACTTAAAACTGAAGCAAAGAATTTTGACAGTTCCAAAGGAAATGCGCGCTTATATAAAAAATGTATATATACCCTCTGTTATATACAGAGAATATAGTAAATGTGTGGCAACAAGCGGACGTGAACGCAAAGACGAAGGACGATTAAGTGCTTCATCCTGGAGTACTGTTATCACGCGACTTAGCGAGGGATAGTGCACTGTCGTTTACATTTTCTCGACAACTCTCCACTCCATTTCCTGTCACATCTCTCGTCGTCATTGAAATTCCACGGGACATCTCCGGTATTAATTGCCGCCTCGATAAAAGACTGGAATCAACGATAACAATAACTCAGTCTTGTGCAATTGATTATGTATTTATTTATTATTAATTTTAATTATATTTAATTTTATTAATTATATATCGGGTAACTTTGATATTGGCTAAGAACGATGATAACACACTTCGGAAACGAACTCGGCTTGAAAGTAGAAAGGAAAATTTCTCTTGTAAATGAGACAATTCGGATTTTGCATAGAGAGACGCGCGTCCTCTTTTCCCATCAAATACGCGTGATGCATCGACGAGTGTAAGCAAGGAATTTAGGACGTATTTAGGACGTACGCCGTTAGCTCCAGAAAATGCATTAACTCGCTGACGCACGCGCAACGCACATCCATGTACTGTAAATGCGTTAAATTGGGTCATTTCGGAGCGATGTTGCAGAGCTCGTGCGCACGACGACGAGAGAGAATTCGACCAGCGAGAGAAACACCCTATAAAATTATAAGGTAATATATTCAACAGATCTCTGCAAGATAATGGATTGGAGATAATCATATGGAATAACTGATAGAGTACGTTTCAAGCCGAACTCTGGGCTGTACCAAGTTTATCACTTGGCTGCAATCGGCTTTCGATCAATCTGGCGGAACAAGTTGGTGAAACCGAACACGAGATACCCTTATTAGTCCTTTCACCTGGTGACCTGATTTTTCGCGGCACGTTTCGTGCCGTGCTAGTAGCAGAGGTCGTTCAATAAGACGCGCCTATAGAGAGGCGGCGTCGAACTAAAAATACCTTATATCCGTTCAACAGGTGTTCGAGATAAGAATATCAACGTGTTTACGAAGTAATCTTGTTGAGACAGATACGCAATGTCGGCAGATCGGTTTAGACAGCTCGTTCCTGCCAACATAAAACAATGAATTGAATCAAGATTGAATCATGATTGCCTCATCCAACAGCACAAGCTATAATGCTACGAAAGCAGTTATTTTCGCGTTATCTCTCGAGTGATCTCGTTAGAGAACGAGATAGCGGAATTACTCCTTTTACGATTCAAGGCTCACTCGAGTCATTAATCAATTGGTACGGTTATCGAGATAAAAATACTTTTCGAATCTTTAAGAATCCTCTCGACGGATTTTCGCATGCGATGAGAATTAGGGCGGATGGAGAATTTTTTGTGCGATTTCTAATTTTAACAAACGTCATACCGAGACGAACCCTCGGGTCCAGCGAACCCGATCGGCGGTTGCGCGTATCTCGTCGACTCCCTGCATAAAGGAAGGTCTATGCTACCACTCTTGTTGATCTGCCTCGTGAAACTCGATATCCATCATGTATGACGGAGACGACAGTTCGCATATAGCGAGCTTATAAGTATTCTAAGTGCCCCTCGCGAGCCATTATGTCATCCTCTTATATCGAGCATATTTTGTAACAACGTACAATATTCGCATGGATACTCGGTGATGAGTCGACAAGCTTGACTTAATAATTGTTCGCGACTTACATGCACTAGCGTGCTTAATGCATATCTGCATACATTGTATACCTAACAATAAATATACAGCAATACATATATCAGAATAATACAGTGATTAGCGAACGCATTATTGATATCTAAATTTATGGAAATGCAACTATCGTTGCGCGAGAGTTTGCACGTTGAGTTTCATAAATGAATTATTCAAGGAGTTACACAAATACTTCATTTGTAAATTACGAAACGGAGAATCTAGTGATTTTTATAATAAGCGATTATAAAACTTTTACGATCTACCGAGCGCGAGAAATTGTAAGTCAAGAGCGGCCGCGTTTAAATTCTCGAAAGATTAATAAACAAAGATCTCTCTCATTTTCATGATTTATATTTTTGCAATCTCTCTTTGAAGAGACTTTTTGCTGTTTATATTTTTTATATAAATGATTTACAAATTTATTAAAATTTTGTTAGCAATTGATTGTATGTATAATTATATTAAATGTAATTAATTACTTTGTTAGTAAGCTTTGGTATTGTGATAAATGTACACGACTTCGATAAGAGATTGTCAAGAGTTTATCAAGTTACATACATGGCGATCTTACATCCCACATTTAATGATGAATATTCATTGTAAGCTCGATCTGCATTCTCATCGTATATTTCTTTTGCAGAACAAAACGGATGCCGATGTCATCAGAATGATATCCTACATTCTTATCGTAGCCGGTGCTCTTACGTTTATCGTCAGTTTCCTTGGGTATTGCGGTGCCATGTTCGAGTCTAGATGTCTTCTCTGCGTCGTAAGTCCGTTCTAATGAATTCTAATGAAGTGAATATACAGGGTGCGGCATTTATAGTGACGCAGGCATATTTTTCGGAAACGAAGTGAGATATCAAAAAATGTTTCAGACAAAAGTTGCATGGTTTCGAGGGGGCCACATGATAAAAATATGGATTTGACCTGAAGTAGTCTTTTCAAGGTGAGGTCAATGTGGTCGATGTTTTCCTTAATGGAACTCCCCATTTTTTATTACATATTCTTATAGCTTACCTCGAGAGCTTTCCAAAACACTATAATAAAGTATTTTTTCATTAAATACTTTTTGAGTTATTTTATATTTTAATCTGACATATTTTGATATAAAAAATAAAATATCTCGTAAAATATTTAGTTTTCGAGAATCTTACCGTAATACTTTTATGTACAGAATAATGAGACAAATCAATCAGTAAAAAAAAATAATTGTTTTTAAGAAAAAGTATGTAATTATTTACAATGTATTTTTTAAAACAATTATTTGTTTTTTTCTTTACACTAATTGATTTGTTGATATCTCACTTCGTTTCCGAAAAATATGCCCGCGTCACTATAAATGCCGCACCCTGTATATAGGATAATATTACATATTAATGTACATTTTGATAAAATATTATTATCATTGAAACTTTTAATTTTCAGTAAGGATCAAATACACAGCTCATTGAAAATAATTTAAACAATTGCAAATGTTACACTATTTAATAATGCAAGATTTTCTTGCCTCAACTTCTTTTTCTTCTCTCTCATTCGTGATATAATAGCGAAAATAAAATAATCCATTATATCGATGATATAATCAGGAAGAGAGTGATTTTATATCATTTTTATATTTACAGAAATATATATCAAAAAATGTAAAATAATTTTTTAAAATATGTTTTTTCAAGAGAATCAAATTTCATGTATAAAAAAGTTTTATTTTACATCTCGGGTTTTCAATTTTTTTTTTTTTATATAGAATCATCGCCTCTTTCCAGCTATATCGGGCGGAATTATATACAAAAGAATTTTCTGTGATTACAGTACGGCTTTCTAATCTTGCTGGTTTTAGTCCTGGAGTGTGTGGTAGTTGGCCTAGCTTTTGGACTTAAAGGAGACGTGCGTATTCATATAACTTTCCTGTTTTCTTGCACAAACGTGTTTTCATCTGCTGAGATCATAAGCTCGATTAATATCGAGCGATTACGATAACCAATGCGGATTGAATGAATGACAATCATATATTTGTAAAAGGCTCACTTTAATATGAAATTTAAATGCAGGCCGAGGAAGGTATGCAGAACTTCTTGAAGTCGACCATCAAATATTATGCTACTACCGCTGATAAAGCTGAGACAGTGACAGTCGCGTGGGACGGTATTATGAGCCAGGTAAATTTACCAATTATTATTTAATGGATGCTTAAATTATTAATTGATTATTATTAGTTAATGATAATCAATTCATTTTGAGCGACGAGTTGACGCGTGAATTAATTGGTACATCGATTCTTCCGGATTTGATTTTTATCTTGCATATATAAGCGCGATTAATTGGCTAAAATTGGTTCCCTAACGGCACTATTATTCAATATAAGTGAAAGTCGCCAATATTAGTCATATTAATGAGCTATCGCGTTCACTATCCTGTCACTTTGTAGCAAAATTACAAACCGTAAAATTACTTATCTTAGGACTTATCGATAAATTATGGAGAAAAAAGTGCGACATGGAAAATGTCACATTTATACTATTTTAAAATTCATTGAAATCGATAGCTAGAAGTATTATTTATTCATTAGTTCACCAAAACTCTCGTATCATTAAATAGCTAGCATATGTTATAAGGAGAGATAATAGTTTATTTAATTATTCATGAATATATAATATACTTTCTCTGCATTTATTTCGATTATAATAAACGAAAAAATAATATGTTTCGTGTTATGTAATGGTCAACGACACATGATAGATGAACACATTATTTGATATTGATGGAAATATTTTCAGCTCCATTGTTGCGGCGTGGAAAATTACCGAGATTTCAGCGAAAATACGAATCTGACTGCAACCGGAAGAGTGATTCCCGAATCCTGCTGTATAAAAATGAGCGAAGGATCTAATATTCTGAAGGATTCTTCGTGTCCAATTAGTCCTACCGCGTCCAATTCGTACTATCAAATGGTAAGTTGAATATTTTATTATTATTTCACTGTAATCTTTTCTTTGTTACTCGGCGTATTTAAAACTGGGAATAGAATCATCCAATACGTTGGTGCAATTGTTGCTAAAAGACAGTGCTCATGATACGGACATGTATTCACGTCTATAGCACACTTTCTCCTTGACAATTTTCTGAGCGTGACTCGGCATTGGCATTGCATGCTCCTAGTTCTCGTACGAGGCATTCATAAAGATGTACGTACCAATTGAACGGATAGTCTCGTGCTATGCGTGATGGAGAAACACTTATATAATTCTCACGTATGAATTTCACGATTATTTTCAAATTGGTGGCAAAAAAGATTTGATATTTTTAAAATTTTATATTTTACAATATATATTAAATATTCCGTTGTAACTTTTGGATTAAACTTTCGGAAAAATATCAAGTTAAATTTATATTTGAAATTCACTTGTGAAAAACAAGACTGATACGCGAAATTTTCAGTCTCGATATTTTTTTTAAGAAGATATTGACTTTAAATATTTTAACTAAAAAATTCGTAAACTTACATTTACGTAAATGGAATATGTCACGTAAACTGATGATTACTTGTCTTTAGGGTTGCTACAAGGCCATAATGACCGCCATCGAGGAGAACGCGGCGATAGTGATCGGTGTGGCCGCTGCCCTGGTCTTCGTCGAGGTCTTGGTCATTATTCTGGCGCTTTATCTAGCCTGCTGCTACTGGCGTCCACAACATGGTAGGCTCGGTGTTAAAGTCAGTTATTAAATAAATTTATTATATGATAGTAAACGTGCGCGTGCGCAAAAGTAACTTACGATATTCGTTGAACGATTTCCCTCAGCCGTTAGTGATGCCTCAGTTCTCTTAATTGACGGTAAAATATGACCTCTTTAACACTTTGCAGTTTATCGATGCGTAGAACCTTCTGGCAAGGAATAAACCTCGAGAGCAGAATGTGCTAAGCTTTCTGCCAGCAGTTCTTTTGAACGCAGTTCTTTTTCCTTTATGGACTTCGCGAATATACCTCGACTGTGTTTGTACGTGTATTATGTAATATACATATATACACATACAAAATAATCAGATATGCATGCATGCATATATATGAATATATATACATATATATTATATGTATACATACGTAGCATACATGTAGGTACGTGTTTTCGTGTGTTTTTCAACGCAATGGCGACTCAAATCGAATTCGATCGGCATCGCATCGTGCGCTCCGACTGCATACAGTTTCAGAACTATGACGTAAGAAGTCGAAGGGTTGCGAATTGAAAGTGACGTACACATGAAATACTGTATTCAATTGGATAATCAATAATTGATCGCTTTCGATCACTATTCGAACCCTTCGATTATGCTCTATCGACGGCATGTTATATGAATTTTCGCGAAAATTGCGTTGAGCGGAAAAGTGCATTTTATAAAATTATTCATTCAATCATCGGCAAAGCCTCGATCGCATGTGCCAAATTCAACCGCGATAAGAGCTTCACTTCGACGTTTCAAGCGCCAATGTATCAAATTCGCATTCGCATTCGCTTTCGCTGATTGTGAAATTCAATCGTAAAACATCGTTATTTTTCGATACCGTGAGTACTCATTGATCGTTCAACATTTCTCGATGCATGCGTGAAATCTCTCCTTTCCTTAGCGAGGAGCTAAATAAAGGAGACACTTTTGTTTCGCGACGTGAAACGGGACGAAGATGCTCAGAGATTTCTTTTCATGTCGCGCACGCACATTATTAGCATAAATATTCAATCTCTGTCCGCTCAACGCGCGCTTATCAATGACATCTGTATCAATGTCGTCGCCGCACTGTTCACCGTGCACATTATTCAAATGCTTTTAACGCTCGGGCGCGCGAAATGACCAAAAATAATGTACATATCCGGAATATTTCTCGAACGCCAACAGCTTTAAATTGTTCAAGTTGTTTTTTGTATGAGATAAAGGATAAAATGCGAGATCTCTACGCATTTAATAACACGTACCAATTGCTTATATCGGTTACGGACGGCAACTATACGAGAGAGAACAAAAAACTTAATTTCCTAAGATTCTTAATATTCATCCAATCGCACGTAGTTATTTCTGATATTTCACATTCCGTTTTGTGTCAGTACGAAAAAAAAAAAAAAAAACTGTTGCACACGATTTTCCACGTAGCGTTATAGACGATCGAAAGTGTTGCAGCACAGTTTCACACGTTCAGATCCTAGACGAGGACGAACGCCTCGTCGCAAATGTTAAAATCACAATGTTATAAATGTTATTATACGCGCATATCCATATTCGCGATTTTGATCACGCACGATCTATCCTATTAAAAGTAGATCCTTTCCCCACAATCGGAAAGCATTGACAAATGGACGTTCTTTTAGCTTGTGTAGACGTATCGTCAAGGCAGGCCTGGTGAGGTGCTGAAGTAAGGATGATGATTTTGATGGGGTTTGCTTTCAAGTAAGATGGAGGCTGAGGCTGTCAGTTGACAGCTGATCCCTCCCACGCTGCTGCTTTGCTGCAGCGTCTAGATCTATCCTCCATTTCTACTCTACAAGCGTTCTTTCGTGAATTCTATTGAGGCATGGTAGCTTTGCTCTCCACCCTTGCATGTCCATGCTGTTGTATATAATTTGACAGAAAGAGAGGGAGAGAGAGAGAGAGAGAGGGAGAGAGAGGGAGGCCCAATTGCATCGTTACGCAGCGCAACCTGTAACAGGAAGTGCGCTTAGCGAGGGATATCCTGATATAGTATCATCGATGATAAATTACCACACTGCATGTAGGGTGTGTAATTGAAATAAGAAATAAATAAATCTGTGCAATCGTTATTTCATGTTTATATCTAATCTAAAAAAAAAAAATGTTAATTATTATAATTAACCAGTTCGAGTTTCGCGAAATAGAGATATCGTTTATCATAATTTATCTACAAGTAAATTACGAAGCAATAATTACAATTGCTGAATAGACGAGGCCAAAGTTGACAAAAATATAGATCGCTCTAATCGAAACGTTACTTTTGTAATGTTCTTTTTTAACTTATACAAATTTAACTTTATATAGATATATATTCGAGCGAGAATTAAAAATTTTTGTTCTAACGCGCGCACACCGTAGAGTTCGCGCTGAGAAGCGGAACGTATTCGTTCATGCCAAACGAATATGCAATTGGGCGAAGCTTTAGCGTTACAATTTCATTTCATTTCACGATTTGTTCATACTCGAGCGACTCCATCGGCACAAGTTATTAAACACACGTGGCGAAATTCTACTCGGAATTGTCGTACGCAGTAACAGAAAATTAACTGTTTCTTTCCGTCCCTCCCCATTTCATTAATTAGAGTAGCTTAGAGAATTCTATCGTCTCAATGTTGCAAACGCTATATACGTACCTAACAGATACATCACAGATCGCGAGATGAAAGAATCTCATTCACGCATTAATGTAAAAAACGTAAAAAATATATTACTGTAAATGTGGGTACAAACGTACAATTTCGAGGAGAAGTCCAATACCTTGATAAGAAATTGATAATGTGTATTAGTGTATATTCTCAATGTTTAACACACACTGCTGTAAACGCAATCTGTATACGTATGCGCACCAAACACATACACACACAGAGACCGAAAGCAACAGATTCTAAGACTGAAAATTAAGAAATTAAATTGAACGCGCACACATTACAATGATCTGATAATATGCGGATTTTACGAATCGAGGATATCACTTTCTTATGTGACGAGATACGTGTATTTAGATAAAATATATTTTTGCAATTTTTTACGATATAGGTAAACGCGAAGCAAACTTTTGATTCTTTGTTCATTTTGAAGAGTTTATATAGAAGTAAAATAAAATTTTGTATTATGTATATCGCACGTATCTCTCGCAAGCGTATATATATGTACGTGTCGAAAATGCCAAAAATGCCAAAAAAAAATAATGATGCACAAATGATCTTACGCTTTTTCTTCGGTACCTGAACTTCTCTAGATTTTTAACAACGATCTCTGATATCCACAGCATAGAGAACGTTTGAATTATGTCGCAGCAACGTTGCGTAATCTCGCATATTGTAGTGCGATGTTATAAAGAGAGTTGTTGAGAGTGTTTCAGCAACGTATATCTGTAACATTGTAATTTTACAATTAAATGCTCTCTGCGCGTTCTGTATGATTACAGTGCCAATTATTATAATCGCGCGATATCGGCTTGAAGAAGCGTGTTTTAATTTAAACGTTCTTTCTCTCTGTGTTAGTATGCGTGCGCGTACGTACACACACGACCGATCGTCACATAATTCAATTTTACGATGCTCTTTATACTCATGGCTACTAATTGTTCATGCCGCACATTCTAGACATTTTCGTTTCCAGTGTTAACTTGTTGGTGCTGCTGTTGACGAGGCATTAAGAGCATGGAACTGTTGAGTAGTGCCTCCTAGCACGTTGAGAGCCCTTAGTGTGCTCCTGTGCCTTGCTTGCTTGCGAAACTCTAGCTGCTAGCCCAGCCTAGGCTAGCTGAAAAATCGACCGACAGAAAAAAAAAAAAGAAAAAAAAAAGATTCTGACACGCTTGAGTCAACGAAACGTTTTCGGAAAAATATTGGCAGTGACGTAGAAGATATAAATCGATACGCTCGTTATATATCGCGTTTCTCTTAAAAAAGAATCATTATTATCTAATTATTTTAGGATATATATATAATTCTCTTTTATTCATATGTATATTATATATATGTCTATTATATATATACATATATATACATATATATATATAGAGAGAGAGCGAGAGAAAACTTACGCGATATAAAGTATCCTCAACGTCACTGTAAATTGACAACGTTTCGTCATTTCGCCAAGTGTTTGTATTATGGAGGTACAAGCGTTTAAAGTAATGGAGAAACGGGATCGGAGATATCGTAGAGCTGACCGAAGTATGCTCTGCAATAATGATGTTTTCTTTTTCATCTTCCGGCTCTTATCATCTATAAGTTAATGCAAATACTAAATGTCGATAACAAATAATAAATGTATATACGCAAAATACAATAACATTAGATATTTTCATAAAACATTTTAGATGCTTGTATCATAACTCGAAATACTCATACACGATGTTTCGTCCATCTCAACATGAAAAAAATAAATAGTGGAATATTTGACGAAATATTCGTGAGACAAGAAGCCGATGTATACTTTTTCGGCATATCTTTTTCGCTATTTTATTGCATTCAACAGAATTTTCTGAGAACTTTCTTATATACGTACACTTACTGAACAATCGCAGCTTTACACACGAGATCGATTTTAGAGTAGCATTCGAAAGAACAGTCAAATAAAGGCGTTGTTAATTCCTAAAAAGACCTAAAATATATATTTTCATGCGAGAAAAATATTTCTTTCGACATTATATCATATTGACGAGGGGAAAAAAAAAAATATATATGCGTACAAATTCTGTAACAGATTCATAGTAAAGATCTCGTGTTTATATTGATACTGATTTCATCCTGATATATACTTCTAGCCTTGTATTTTTCTCATGTACCTGATTAAAAAAAAAAAAAAAAATGAGATTGTCAGATATAAATATATCAGATATAAATATTTCTATGAGAAACGCGGAGAAAAATGGCGTATCATTGCTGATAGTATAGATCGGGAGAAGCATACATTCAGATTTACATACATTCAGATTTTGTGAGCATCACAAAAGTCAGAGTATCATAAGCATTTATATTCGAACGTTTATTCTCTTTTCTTTGTCAATTGTCCTGTATGAAAATGTGCTGCACATCACTGTGTTCCTAATAGAGGAATAACAATCAAACCTCCTTTTACCTCTGACACGCGCGAGAGAGAGCATCTTGAACTTAAAAAAAAATATATCATATGTATCAAAAAATATTTTACCATACATATACTTGTAAATCATGTAATGTATAATTAACGATGTCTTAGCTATGATTGTATGCTCGCGTAAATACATTACGCGAGATTCACACAGGCTAATTGGAGGATTGAAACTCTCATATAAAACTCGTTAGTTGTTAGTTTAAAAATATAATACACAGTAAAATGCTTGTTTTTCTGACAATGTGCAGTTTAATTTAGAGATCAAGAACACGTTTTTTGCATGCAATGTGCACTATAAAAATATTTATATTTATTTTTAAACGTTCGCATAGAGAATGTGTCTGTCGAGTATATTAAAATAATGTAAAGGTTCTTTTTATTGCAATTTGATCTGTACGTAAATACCGATATTACAAGTAATAATCTAAGAGGAATTCACTCTCTCTTTATCATTTTACGCTGCGGAAAAAAATTAAAAAATGAAAATATTTTTAAATATCTATTCTCAAAATCTCTCGTTTCCTGACATTCATATAGCACATACATGGGCTTGCATTTATATTTGGAAATTAAAATCGCTGAAATTAGATAGGGATAAATTGCAATATTGATAACCTGATTCTTATAAAGCTGTCTAATATGTAATTCCATGATATAAATGTATAAATTTCAGAAAAGCTATTTAAAATCAACAAAAAATAACGATGTGAAAAAAACATGAAGCCTAAGACACCAGTTTAGAATCTTGTGTGGAATTTGTGGAAGTCGAGTCAAGATTAATGTGTTTATTCTGGAGTTGCGATAAAATAATGAATAAAGCGCGTGTTGTAGTTGTATGCTACGATAGTCTCGTATAAATTAATATGATAATCTACATTAAACAAGTATCTTTTCGGTACTAAAGATACAGATAAGAGCTATATTGCAGAGAGTTATTTTTGAAAGATTATGTGAGATGTTACAGTGATAAGATTGAAAAAAATGACAAAACAACACAGACACGGCCAAGAATGCATGATATTGCTTAGTTTAAGTTCAAAGTTTAAGATTTTTAGTAGGTATATTCATTTCTGTTTCGATACAATTCAGAATTATCATGAAATAGTTGTATCAAGATGTATTCAAATTTTATATACAGAGACTGATACCTGACCTAAAAGTGTATATATTTGAGATGCGATTATCGATATACAGTTGTATTCCAATATATTATTATTAACTGTATGAGTACTGTACAATTGCATATATTAAGAATATAGTACGATTGATTTTTGTTAAGAGTATTACATGTTTTTTGTAAAAAAAAAAAAGAGCTGTACACACAGAACCAAAATAAAAATTTTATATTATTCATAAATCCCAGATAAAATATGTAAGTAATGTTTGTTCAAATTGTTTTATTTTATCGATTCATTCCAGCAATGATCGTGGAGATAATAAAATGTCAAAAGAATAGATTCTTTGCGAAATCTATGTACTAGCAGATAGATGAGCATGTATATAAGGTTATACATTTAAGAATTGATTTCATATCTTTTGTATAAACATTTAGATTTCTACACATTTATTTGTAAAATAATATTAAACATATTCATTAAAAAAATAGAATTGTGTTCACAAACTATATTTCAAGAGGCATATAATACATCTTGTCCTTGGTACATTTAATAAACGTACATTTATGAACATTTTTACATCTATATTTTTGCGAATAATGTTTTTATTATGCAACAATGTTGTAAATTTCACTCTTTCACATTCATATTGATATACCAGACTATTTATATGTTACAAAGATATTTATCTCAGCAACAGATTTGTACTTTCTACTTGCGTACAGATAATTTTCAATGAAGGATACCAGCTAATGACAAGCAGAATGTAAATAGAAAGAAATTTTCATTGGCAAATAGTACCATTAAATCTTCTTAGTTATCATATAATACAATTTATACATTCTTTCTAGCATTTTATACTTGTCACAAATAGTATATGTACATGGTCGATTGTTAGCTGTTATGATAAGATATGCAATGTATATTTGCAGTAGCGATCTCAGAAATGTCAGATTATTTATAGAACGGCTCAATGATTTTCTTTTTCTTTTTGTTGATTATTTATCTCTATCTTTCTCGTTTCGAATGTGGCAAACGTATAGTTATCTGTCTCTCCTAAAATCTTCCCCATAAAATGTAAATCTGCTCGTGATGGAATAAACGCGCGCGTCCTCTATTAGGATCGAAGTTTACATTCTTAATTCGTCCACGTCGGATGATTCGGCAGACAAAGGGGATTAGGAGAGTAAAGCAAGTCCTATTGAGGCGGGCCGCCCATCATGCCCATCGGTGGCATGCTCTGGATGCCGTATGGTCCCTGCGGTGGTCCTTGGCCGCCAGCCATAGGCGAATGCATTTGCATCGCTGCGTTCTGGATCTGCTGTGTGGGAGGTACCTGATTTCCGGCGGGAGATGCCACAACCTGTTACAGATATTGTAAGGTAAGCTTTATATATTTCCATTAAAGTTACCGTAAAATTATTTCGTGCTTTTCTTAATAATATTTAGTTTCCGGTATCATACATTATCAAAAAAAAAAAAACAAATCGTTGCATATATTATCGGAAATATCCCATTAAGTTATAGTGAGGAATAATTTGTTTTTATATATATGCAACGCAGAAAAAATATTTATGTAATTTCTCATAATCTAATACAGTTGCAGCCAGGGACCAAGAATCTCAAGATCTTTCTTCTACTTAGCAAAATATTATACCTGTGATATAACTGACGGTTCCGATGGTAGCGTGAAATTAGCTAAAAGATCCCTTACAGCGGGGAACAGTGAACATTCCGACTGATTCGCGCCGTACTCGGCGAATCTCTTTAGCTGCATGGACGCTGCCGTAATCGCCGGACTAAGATCTCTTCTTTCAGCCAGTTGCGTTAAATTCGTGGTGACGTCGTATACAAATGGTAGTACGAAGGATGTTTCTCCTGGATACGACATACCTATTCTCGTAAGTTGCAACTGCAAAATATGTAAAATTGTGTAACGATAAATCGAATTTTCAAAGAAAATTCCAAGTGCTTAACAAGTTGTACTCACAAAGAATAAAATTTTGCTCCTGCAAACATGCACTCCCTCTGATCCCGGGGGCACTATCTGTCCGGTAGAAGGTGGAATACGCAAGCACAGTTGCACGGACCACTTCAACTGCTGTTGCTGTACAAGACCAGGAACCAACTCTAGCTTCATTATTTGCACAAAGTCTTTCAATACCTTGAATCGTATATTAAGCATCCTTCCGAAGCCAGATAGTGTGTTGTGTTTATAAGGCGGGGCGGCGACTCGTGTATCAAAGAATTTTTCTATAATCTACAAATAAGACGAGTTATTTCAATAAATAACGTTGTGTAAATACGTAACATATGCGCTTTAATTACTTACTTGTAATTCTTCCAGGCTCCACTGATCTTTGTACTCTGGAAGTGGTTGCACTTTAATATGAAGAGATTGGAAATATTGCGGATTTAATCCAACTCTACATTGTAAGCTTTCGACTTTAAAATGTACTACGCCTGGTTCAGTGCTATTGATACCAGTTACCTGTAATTTATATATACATAATATATATCATATATATATATATATTATAGAGTATTATACTTTTTAGTATAAAGAAATATTTATATATTTATTTCACATGTATAAAATAAATATATTAAATATACATATATATACGGAGGTACATAAATTCGCCAAATACTCGCGGCCAACGTTCTGAATTATCTTACGATTTACATACAAATTCTCTTACGCAATCGTCTGTCTGGATAAAGCGTTGCAATTGTCTTCTCATGTAGACGCAACCCAGAAATCTTTCGAGCGGCGACATATCCGGACCAGGTAAACCGGACGGATGGGGCGAGGCGCAACAAAGTGATTCTAGCGCTTCATGCGTGAGAAGCGTCGGTACGGCACCAGCCCAAGATCTTGGCGGTAATACTCTGGACATATGACTACCGGTCTTGTGATCGGAGGCTTGTGGACTATGCAGTGCTACGTGACTCGGACTTTGCCCAGGTCTCGCAGGGGATGGTCTTGGTACGCTCGGGGATCCAGGCCAATTGGAAGCAGCTGGTGAAGCCATACTTTGAGAAGACGGGAAAGGACTACCGTCGATATGACCTGAATGTTGATGTTTCGTTATTTAATTCGCATTAAAAGCACAAGGCAAGTATCACTATCATTGTTGGACATAATGCTTCGTTTTTGTAAAACAATAATCATACAATTTCTGAAAGTGAAAATGTCATTATTTCTCGTTTAGATTTGCTTTTTTCAAAGTAATTCAACAAAAATGCAACCGCTTTTTAGTTAAGGCAAATACAAACAAAAAAAAAAAAGAAAAGAAAAAACAATATAATAAAATTTTGAAAAACGCAAAGGAAATATTAAGAATTAAAAAATATATATAAAAACACACCTGTTTGCATAAATGAACCAGCGGGGGAATGTCCTACTTGAACATTACTACAAGGTCCTGGCGACGAGGTTGGCATGAGACCAGCCGGACTAGGAACGTGCATCGGATTTAGAGGACTGTTTGCAACGAGTCCCGATCCGGGAGACGGGTGCGGTAACATGTTAGGTGTATTCGGTGGTAACGATGGCGGGGACGCTAAATTAAACGATGTTGCGGGACTGCTTCCGAAACTTTGATGTTGACTGGCCTAAAAAAAAGAAAAACAGAAAAAAATATTTTTATAAACACAGTCGAATAATTCACGTATTATCTTAGTCAAACAATCTACCTGGGATATATTTGTAGTATGAGGACTGGCCGGTGTGTGAGGATTACTGCCGGATGGTGGTGTAAGCGGCGGATGAAATCTTAAACCCTCACGCTGTTGCGCGGGCGATTGCGGTCCGCTTCTGTGATGTCCCAAAAAGCCTCCTACGTTACCTCCACCACCATCGCTATCCATAGTGACGGGGGACGGTGGATTATCATCCTCCGATTGAGATCTTCTTCTAAATACCGCGTTTTCGTCGACGTATTTCGACAGAAATGCCTACAATACGAATATGTTTAGCTATGTTGTTTCAAGCGCTTTGCTTTTTATTAAGAAGGAAATATTTATCTTACCTTTAAACCTTGCGTAGGTGTAAACTCGTCGACGACGTTACTTTTGTCGAAATGACTATAAGCACCGTCACGTAAACTCACCAAACCTCCGCCGCGTAGACGCAATTCCAAACAGTACATGCCTTGATACGCTATCTTTACTAAAGTGACACATTGTGGCATTATAGTAAACGTTTGTACTGGCACTCGTGGTCTCTGTAGAGAGGAATTTATCCGTAAGTCTGAACCAAAAAAAGGCAGATACGCGCGTGCACTTACCGCATGCACGCATAACTGAGGAATTGTCGGTAATTTACTGATCGACGTAAGAGGCTGAAGCGTTTCGTTAAGTATATGAATAATTTGTGCCAAATTCTTGTGTCTATTTAAATGGGCTTCTAGCTGTTCCTTCATTACAGAATGCGCATTGGTCACTGTATTGGTTGGACCTAAAAATACAAATAAAATTATTACACATTTCCAATAACGATAATATGAAATATGTCTCTAAATTAAAATCAATATAACAGGACTTACTTCTACCAAATACCAGTTTAAAATTTGCTTTATCATTCCATTGTACAGTTACAATTGCAGCATGATTTGGACCATATGCAAGAACTAGCTTGCTATAACTATAAGACTTAATGCTAACCATGTTGCGTAAATTGTACTTCTCTAGAGTGAAAAGCAACATTAAATTATAAAAACGTAATTAATATATGACATATAACGCACTATATAAGATTGTAACATATAACATACCCATTTTGAAATATTCAGCTAAATCATGAACAAGTGAATATAAATACACTATTTGTGCCCAATCATTTAATAAGGCATCTACAGTGCGAGAGACGGTATCGGCTGTTCCCATTTCATATTGAAAGTAGACTGGTCTTCGCACACCTAAGAGATTCAAAAAATATATCTGCATTCTATAATTTTTGTTATAACAAAAGAATTACAATGTATTTTATGAATTCATTTACAACAAGGAATCAAATTTTACTCAGAAATCAAAGCAGAAATTACTTATATACAAAAAATTGTATATTTGAGAATTAAACATATAAAACTTTGGATAAATTCCTCAAAGAAAAGAAATCATAGCAATTAACGAAAAAGAAGAATCTTTGGAAAAATATAAAAACTTTAAAATTGTAAAACTATGGTGTCTAAATATTAATGATAAATAGACACTTGATTAAAAAAGAAATTAATACCTTGTTCCTTGGGATGATTACTGGAGAGAGGACTACCGAAAAATACAAATTCCACCATCCAAGTTTTAGCCATGCCTTTGCCTTGAACTCTAATCGAAACACTCAGCAGCCTTTTGAGAAGAGCGTGCCAAGCACTGCTTGTAGCGATAGTCGGCGATGGCGCAGGTAATTGAACAAGTTTTAGTACTAATGCTGTGGCATTTGCTTCTACCTGTAGCCCTTGATGGGCTATCTCTCGTCTGGTAAGCTGCAAATTAATATTAAATAAAGATAATTTTATTATCGCGGAAAAAAATCGGTTATTGTTATATAGGACTTTCCTTACAGAAATCTTTTTTCCTTTAACAAGATACACAATCTGTGATATAAAAATCAACGAGAAATTTAGATCTTACTTCTTGGGCTAGAGTTACGAATGGTATCCGCTCGTCGCACAGAGCGACAACATGCGCCAATTCCGGAATGAAGTAAGCCGGATGTTTTGCTCTTCTATTCTGTGATGTTCCCACCGCGTCTGTCCTTCCTCCGACCCCAGTGCTTCTACGTTTGTTGCTCGTCGTCGTCTCCACCACTTCTGTAATGCACCCCCCATCTTGATCATTATTCCCTAAAAAATCCACCCGTTAATCCCCCTAAAAGTAGCAGAAGTAGTATACCACACTGAATGTTGCCAGATGTTAATTATTATCTATACACACTATGTTACAATACATTAATAATCGAGCAATCGAGTATTAGTAAGGATTAATAAGAAAGCTCTTATAGCATTTCCAAGGCAGGATAAATTATATATATTTTATACAAGAAAATGTGCAATATTGCATGTACATATAATTATATTGACTCGACAACAAATTATAAAAACGACTGATTTATACATTTAACTGGTTTTTACATCATGCCTGTTCAAGCTTTGATTCGCGAATGAAATGCTCTTTCTTCAGTATTGCGAAATCAGAGTAGAAATAAAAAAGACAGAGAAGAAGAGATAAAAAACCAGTTAAGGTGCTGTTTATAGATATAATTCCAAGCACATGTTGTGTCTGGAATTGATTAGTTGTATCGTTAAGAATGGTTACAGCAATATGATTTGCAGATGGAGATAATGAGCTTATTGTTAGTGATGAACTTGAACAGACCTAATTTATGTAATACATATATATATAGGTATACACACTTATATGTTACACAACACTCAATAGATAGAATAGATCAAAAGTTGGAAATCGTTAATGATTTATGTAATACATATATATATATAGGTATACACACTTATATGTTACACAACACTCAATAGATAGAATAGATCAAAAGTTGGAAATCGTTAATAAAGAGAAAGAGAAAGAAAGACAGAAAGAAAAACGTTATTATAAAATACGAGATTATAATAAATTTCATACTACAACTAAAACTATATAAATACTAATATATATACTTTTTATTTTTACCTGCAAATACTTGCACATCTACGTTAATAGTATATGATAACAAATAAACTAAACTCACAAATACACATGCGTATCCATATACATTTTACTTATCCATATAATGATTTAATGATGAAGAACAATATTATTATATCGTTATTCAATATTATAATATTGTCAATAATTGACAGTCAATCCATTTAAATACATGAATTTTTTTGAAATTAAAAAATAGAAGTTGAGAATATAAATATATGAAAGAAATATATGTAGAAAATATTAAGTAAAACATGTGGATATACTCACCACTGTCGACACTTGTAAATGGGCCGTGTGTAATGACAAAAGTATCAAATTCAATAAGACTCTGAACTTTTAAATACATTTTCGGTATTTCCGTTTCTATACTATCATCGTGTGGATCATCTTCGATAGAACTATGCTTCACTACAGCAAGATAGAAGGAACATTCTATTTCACACGGCGAGTTTTCTTTTTCTTTGAATGCAACAATCTAGAACAAGCAATATCACAGAATATATATGTATAACTCTGTAATACTAATTTAATATTTTTATCAATGTTAATATATCTTTCAAATCTGATTATTATTTTGTGACAATTATTATAATTCTTAAAATTGTGAATTTACATACCAGTATAACATTAGGATGTCTATGCAATTGTACAAACATGCGATGCCTACTAATCTTAGACATAGGGTGATCTGGATGATGTAAGACAGGCAAACGTTCATGAGGGGTAGCAGCTAAATGCTGCAATGTTTTCTCGCAACGCCTTTGTGTTATCCAAAATCTGCCAAAAAATAAAATAATTTATCAATAATTAATTTTACTTTAAAAGAATGCAGAAAGAATATCATTGCAATATTTATACCTCAATTCAGATATAAGTGTCGGAAGACGCGAATGATCCCCATTCAGAGCCGCCGTCAACTCTGGTACAAGAGGCGCATCATATTGAGGGACATGACACTGTAGCATACCAGTATGAGTATCAACTGTGATTAATAAAAGTTCAGCACGTAAACACGGCTGTAATATCGGTACTGACAAAATAGCTGGAGATCCTGCTAAGGTACCTATAAATATGGACATTATATAAGAATCTTTTTATTTGATTTGAATATAATGTGTAAAAAATAAAAGAAAGAAGCAGAAAAGAAATCCTTAACTTACATTCAACGTCCTTTAACATTGTTTGTAACTCTTGTTTCAATTCGGATAGACGACTTCGCGTTCGAATATAAATCGTATGTACAAGTAAACATTCCATTGATAACTGATCCGATCTAATAGCTCTATGTGCTATTTCGCTTTCCTGTATAATATTACCGTAATGTATTATTATAAACATTGTGAAAATTTGAAAAATATAAGTATATTATATATTACTTTACCTTACTACCCAACGACGGAATATGTACAACTGCAAGAGGCCTCGCAGGATCATGTTGATCTACTTGAATGGTCAATTTGTATCCAAGCTCTGATCGTGGATCTTTACTCGTTAATTCCCTAAAAACATTTCATATATGAGTATAAAAGTTTCAATATGTATCCAGTTGTGTATCTATATATATAATTCTTTATGATGTATTGGTTTTTTTCTAAAAGATGTTATATAAGTGTATTATACAATTATTATTACCTCCAATAAGATACAGAGAGACATTTGCCAGGTATATATTCATCTACGTGAATATGATCATCTAATCTATCCTGAATTAGCCTTAATGTCTGAGAAAATAATACTTCTAGTTGTAATGATTGGCAAAAGTAATGCAAAACAAAATACACTTCTGACAATGGATTGCTACTTTCAGCCAATCGTGATTGAATAACCTGTTGTAGAAAGAAATTCCATCTGTTAAAAATATCTGAGAATAGTTTATACTAACTTTATTATATGATATATACCTGATGTACGTATCGAGTTTGCAAGGGATGCACTAATGCCTTTCCATCTCCAGTTTCCCTATCCGAAACCAAAATCTCCAATTCTAACAATCTCCATGGGACTGTTGGCCCATCGCTCATAACTGTAAGAGATACTGAAAACTCTTGCTCTACAAGAAACGTCACTCTTCCTGCTTCAATCTATATATTAATAATAAATCAAAATCATAATCATGAGTATGTAAATAGCAAGTCATGTATATAATTTCTTTGTTCTTCCACAAAGTAATGTATACCAACTTTGCAGAATTTACTTATATCTTTATTGTTATTTATACATATGTACCTTTAAATTGCGCATCTGTGGCAATAAATTTCCAGTGACCAATCTATGTTGAATGACTTGATTCAACCTTTGCAATGTGGTTCTTTTTTCTGCAGCTGTAATAGGATCTGGAGGCACTATTCTTTCCTGTTTAAATGTTATAAATGCAATATTTTCATGAATTTCTTGTATAATTAACACTTCTTTTAATAATATAATAAAATAATATACTTACTCTAATGCAGGCTGGTAATCTACCATAGGTGCCAGTGGTAAGTACTTCTACAGCTGCAGGGATATGAAAATTTGGAAGTCTAGCGTGCACCAAAGTTTCACGAGCCATTCTTGCCAGCATATCCGCAGTATCAACAAAGAGCAATGATTGTTTATCCAAAAATGCCATAATATGCTAAAATAAAAAAACAAATATAAGTCATCAAGTGGTATATTTTAATTACACAACTAACAGAATATATGAAACTGTATATCTTACTGTAGATTTATCCACTTTAGATGCACTATTTGCCCATTTTACTAATGCTAATAAACGAACATACAACTGTCTTGTCCGAGCAGAAAAATTATAAATTTCAATTTTGCGTTCCATATCTGTTTTACGAGGTAATCTAAATACACAAAAACATACAAGATAGATTATATCACAAAATGTTAATGTATATCTGTTAATATCTTGATATCTTGTACTTACAGTTCAGCGAGCACAGTGAGTTCATGATATGTTCGTTGTATTATAAAATCTATGAGCATGCCTAAGGAGATAGATCCTCCACGATTACCCTCTTGAGGTATATTATTTGTAACAGGAGTCTGATGACCTTCTAAAGGTACGGGTGCCATTTTGAAGTTGTCTTCAATAACGAATGCTTTCTCAATCTGATATATATGTATACCTATGGATAAAAAATTATATGTAATATCTCTTCTCTTCATATGTGCATCATAAGATATATTAATATATCTTATATTAATAATACTAATTATATATACTTTATATTTTTAGAAATTAATTTACTTACTACTTTCTATCGCAATATGCAAATGTTTATATACTAAATATTATTTAATTTAAAAGATTAATATTTTATAATTCTGGTCACAGTAGGTCTCGTTTAGATCAGTATCTGACTTCTATTCTTATTCTTTTAACAATGTCGTGATAATCAACATAATTGAAAACAGCATATTGTGACAATTCTATAATTTCTTCAATTTTACAGAATGGGCAAATACGTTTCATTTTCCGCCGTGATTTTATAACTCGAATACATGGTTACAACACATCCGATAACAATATTTTTTGGCATATTTATTCGTAATAATTAAGCTGAATTAAACGCGTTTATAAATGACACAACACACTAGTTCGAACGTTTATTTCAACAATGGAATAGGAAAAAAAACTGATAGACATTCACGGGATTTTATATAAAGTTTCGTCCACTACGAAACGCTACGAAACACTGCACCATTAAATATAAATTGACATGAGAAGATGTCGTTGTTTCAGTCAAAAGATAACCATAGAATACTTCGTAGAATGAGAGAGGAAACTGTCTTGCAGATAAGACACGACATAATATTTATGATTGATCAATTTTTTTCATTTTCCTTTTCCGGAAAAAACGGATAAAACATTTATACATTAATTATTACTTATTTAATATACATAAGTAAAGAGATATATATAAATTTCTTTAATATTTTTAAAATTTTTTGTTTATCATCTTGGATTAGATTCTGCTTTATTTACCATCGGATCAAAATGTATAGTAGCGTTGACGTTGGAAGAAACGAGAACTAACTATCAAACTGACAGATGGTAATACACAACGCAAACTGTCATCAATTGACGTAACGCTGTATAGCATTGTCAAATATATTTTCTCATACAAAAGAAACAATTATATCATGTGCGATTTTAATTATATTCTGTCTGTCTGTCTATATCTCTATTCTTATTTATATTATTCTTTCATTTTGCATGATTAAAAAGAATAACATATGATGATGAAGCTTGAACGAACGAAAAAGAATCTTTGAGGAAATTATATTTGCTCATATTTATAATTACGTGTTTCTATGATGCATAGCGGCTGGAATAAGTTGATTAAAAGTAACGACAGTTACAGATATGAGCCTAGAGCCAATATCGAGAAACAACATTGTACAGCCAGATCCAGTTTCATGCAAATATCCTTTGACCATGACGAGGAATGCTTGATAGTAGTAGACACTAAAGGATATCTGCATTGCATTGAATTGTCCGATGAAGTTCCATGTTACAAAGTATTTGGGAAAGTCGGCCAATCCACATTTCTGGCATTTAATCCTGTATGCAAGGAAGAAATATTGATAGGACTCAATACAGGTGATATAAAGATCTGGAAGCTTTATGCGGACGTCAATGACTTCTGTCTATTATCTGGTCATAAATTAGCACCATTGCATGTTTCCTTTTATAAGAATTACTGTCTAACCGGATCTCGGAACGAGGTAATAATATGGGACCTGCAATCTTATAACAGAGCTCATCAATTGAAAGTTGATGTAAAGAACGCTGTGATCAAGAAAGCTATCTTTTCGAACGCTGGTCACATTGTTGTGTTGTATCTGAATGATACTATGCAAGCCTGGACATTTGGACAATTGCATAAAGACATTAAAATTGATACAAGCACATTCGGAATACGTTATATCAAAGATTTTATCTTCACGAAAGATGCAAGAGCTATGATAATGGCTGGCGCAGGAAACATATGCATTCTTAATACGTATGATTGGAGTTTGCTAAAGAAGATACATTTATCTAAAAATTTTATCGAGGCGAAACAATTATCGATTATTCCATGCCCGTTGGATGGTGGAGCAAATAAAATCGTCGCATTTCTATCTTCGAAATGTACTCTTCAGTTTTGTGATATAAATACATCAAGTTTTCTTGATACACCTATTTTCGCTGATAGAATTAAAAAACTTGCGGTTTCGTTCGCTGGTAGATATATAGCATACATAGATCAGGAAGGATGCTTAAATATAATGTATACTGATAAAATAATTTCAAGAAAATGTCACCAAACAAAAAAAACGTTAGAGCCACGTAGAGAGCCACATAGACTATATGCGCACAAAATAAGCGATCATTTGGAATGCGTTAAACAAAGTATGAAACAAGAATTGGATATAAAACGATTAACGTCTATTTTGAAAGAATTTGGGGAATTTCCAGATAAATATCGCACACTAATTTGGTCTACTATTCTAAAACTACCAGCCAACAAAAATGCATATATTGCATTGGCAAGTAAGGTAACACGTGGAAAACTTACATCAAATATTTTAAAAGATTATCCCTTGGCAGACAAAAGTAAGGCGTCATTGTTAGCCATGATAATGGATTGCTTGTTGCAATGGTGCCCACTGCTAATACAAAGTCCGTTTCTTCCCAACTTGGCTTTTCCATTTCTCATGGTATTTCAGGTATCTTATTTTATTTTGTTTTGTGAATGTATCGATATTCCTTTCTTATCAAAAGATATATTAAGATATATTTGCTTTTGTTTCAGAAAGATCCTTTACTTGCCTTTGAGTTGATTTTAAGTATATTACTAAACTACTGCCAAAAGTGGTTTGAATATCATCCATTGCCACCATTGAACATTCTGGGAATTATTGAAAATATTCTTTTGGAAGCAGATTCTGCACTACTCAATTTCTTCTGTGAAAATGGAATCACAACTAGCGAATATGCGTGGCCGTTACTACAGACTGCCATGAGCGAAGTGTTATCGGGAGACGAGTGGCTGATTCTGTGGGACCATCTAATATGTTTTCAAAAACCCTCTCTCCTATTGATGTGTGTCGTTGCTTATAACATTTATTCGAGGGAAAATATAATTTCTTTAATAAAGTCGTGTTCTGGAGATATCAAGGCCTTCTATAGCTCTCAAAGTCACATTAGAGCCAAGGATTTGTTGAAGATTGCGAGAAGATTAGATCAAGAGATACCGGAACGAGTACATCCTAATCGTTATCTGAGGTATTATTGCAATAATATACGAAACAATAATCACATGTATGATAGTCATTAATATTTAAAATTTATTTCAGGGATAAATTGTTGCAATTAAATAATGTTGGGCCTTATCCCTTGTTTATAAAGAAAGAATATCCAAAATTTCTCACTGAGAATCTCAGCATCGCAGACTTGAGGAAATTGAGAAGACAAGAACAACATTTACAAGAGTGTAATTGTAAGATTGCAGAACTTGCCGAAAGAAAAAGATTATGTGCAGAAACCAAAGCTTTTGCGAGACAAATTCACAAAACAAGATTAAATGGTATACAATCGAACTTCTATATCTTTTTCGCTTTGATTTCCTATATCTTCTCAGTTTAATCTTAAGCATATTTAATTTTAGTTTATATAACACACATTTAATTTATACAATTATAAATATAGAAAAAAATCATTAATTGATTGCTTTCATTCCAGAAGTACAAAAATGCTTTCAAGAGCATATTAGTAATTTAGATTGGAATTTTGACAAATTTACACCAAATGCAAGAATAGGAAAATCCTATTTGTACAAAAATATTGATAATTTGAACTTGGAAAAGATACAAGAATGTAATAAATGCAAGATTACAGATGATAGACTCTCAAATTTAGAAGATAGTAAACCAAAGAATTACGAAAAATTGCAACAAGATGTAACAAAACTTGAATATGAAGTACAAAGTTTTTTAGATTCACTGAGATCTCATAGATCAGAAGTCAGGTAGAATTAATTTTTTTATAATGCAAAAAAAGTTAATCTCTCTCTCACTAAATTTAGGTAAAATAAAATAATATCTTAACATAATCATTACAAAATATAAATAATATTACAATTTAATTGTATATATAAATAAAACAATTTTATTTTTTTTATGTTTGCATCCTTTTTTATATTTCTATATAAAATATAAAAATTTTGTACATGCATATAAATATATAATAAGAAAATATCTGTTTTTTAAAACTCTATTTTTCTAAAAACAATGTGGCAAAAATGTACGAGGTAATACATGTTATTGCATTATTACGATTTTATATGTTTGCATGCTAAATGTTTGTACTTATAAATATCATGCAAGAATACTATGCAAAAATCATCTGTCAATCGTATTTTATGAAAGAATAAACAGGGACTCCAATTTTATCTCGGCCTTTTAATGAAGTCACTTCCATTATCACTAAGCATTCAATTATATCAGCTCCTGTTGATTTTATTAATTGCACGGCAGCAGCCATGGTACCTTTAAATAATATATATATTTCATCCGTTTTTAATATTTATATATTCTGAGTAACACATAATTAAAAACTATTTCTCATTTCACCTCCAGTTGCCAGCAAATCATCAACAATAAGCACTCTGCTTCCCTTCTTAATAAACTCTGTTTGCAACTCAAATGTGGCCTGAAAAAATAGAAATTGATTTATATACATTACATATGAAAAAAATTATTTTTAAACAATCAACATTGTGTTTTCGAACATACTTCACCATACTCTAATGCATATTTCTGTTGAGTGACCTTGCCTGGAAGTTTCCCTTTTTTTCTAATGGGCAAGAATGGTTTGCCCAATTCCATACAGATCATAGGACCAAATAGAAAACCACGTGAGTCCAGTCCTACAACTAAATCGATTTCAAGAAATAAAATATGCTCCATGATTAAATCCTTCAATGCCCTTAATGCTGTGATATTGTGGAACACAGCAAATATGTCCCTGAAAATAAATGATTTACATAATACAATAAATGTGAAACAAGGAAATTGACATCAAATTAATAATATATCGATCTCGATCTCGTAATTCTTTAAAAAATTTTATTTTTTTTTTTTCTTTAAGATCGGCTTACCGGAAAATGATTCCAGGCTCAGGAAAGTCGGGATAACTCTTTATAGCATTCTTCAATATTTGCAATTTATCATTTTTATCCATTGTGATGTATATAATTGAACTATATAATAGTGATGTCAGATCTTGTTAACTGTTGTACTAGACGATTTTCTTTCTCGTAAATAAATTTAATTAATTAATTAATTAATAAACAATTGTACTTTTATAATAAATTCACAGCAATGAGACGGAATGTGTCGAAATGTTAAAATAACTAACTGACAATGTTAGATATCGATTATCTACTGAAATTTCTTAAAATTTCTTAATTATATATGCCAAATTTAATATCAACTCGATTATCAATTTGATAAGACTTATCTTATCAAATTCTTATCTATTTTTTGTAAGGCATTTGTTAAATTTTCTAAAAATATAGGGTTATGGGAATGTTTGAGAGTGTAACGATTATATCGATAAAGTAAATAGTAAAAAATCTTTACCTGTTTGATCAACGAGATATGTTTTACCGACAATGTAAAGATTTACTTACCTACAGTAGTGCAGCAAATTTTTTTACCGGAAATAAGTTAGCGCTGGAAGTTCATATTTTTTAATAATTTATAGCTCAAACGATTGCTCCTTAATTGCTCCATATTGCTTTATTATTATTTACATGATTTATTGCATTTTTTATCGAAAATTAACAAATTAATAATTTTCCAAGCGACGCCGTCGCCACCTATCGGCCGCCTATCGGAACTATATGGCTCAGAAGCCAACGGCGAGAATATTCAAACATAATATAACATAAAACGATTGCTCCTTAATTGCTCCATATTGCTTTATTATTATTTACATGATTTATTGCATTTTTTATCGAAAATTAACAAATTAATAATTTTCCAAGCGACGCCGTCGCCACCTATCGGCCGCCTATCGGAACTATATGGCTCAGAAGCCAACGGCGAGAATATTCAAACATAATATAACATAAAACGATTGCTCCTTAATTGCTTCGCATTGCTCCATCATTATTTTCATGATTTATTACATTTTTCATCGAAAATTAACAAATTAATCATTTCCCTAGCAACGCCGTCGTCACCTATCGGCCGCCTATCGGAACTTTATGGCTCAGCAGCCAACGGCGAGAATATTCAAACATAATATAACAAAAAACGATTGCTCCTTAATGGCTCCGTCAGAATCCACAATTGCTCGCCTTTTAAAATTAGTTCTAGTCATGCTAATAGAATATTTTTTAAATGATGCTAAGAATTTATTCTTCAAATTTACCGCGCAAAATTTTACGCACAACTTCATTGTTGTATAATTGTAATGGCGATTGTACAACGTACATACTCATTCCCGAGTACTCCCGAGAGAAGTATATACATGTATATCCCAAAATAATATTTCTTATTTTTATATTTCTTTTATTGGACGGAAAGATGCGAGAAAGATAATATATTTAAGACGCGAGATGTTAAACAAGAATTTATTTATACTCGTTTCTTTTATGTGAGACACATCCGTACGTCTCTTGATATTTATTAGTAACGAAAACGAAATACTTGCTCTCTCTCTCTCTATCTCTCTCTAGACATAGTAAAAAATATATCGTAATTATATAAAATATAATTATTACTTTACAACAATGCGCGTATTTCAAGAACCGATTAAAAATAAGACATATTTACAGCATATTTAAAACACACAAACGGAATTAGTAAATATATATATGTATATTACAAAAAATGAGGAGATAATCTTTCCTCTTTCAAAATCGCTCGCAGATCTCGAGCCTGCGTGTAACGTATTTTCAACCCTTCTCTCGCCCTCTCCTATTTTATTAAATTTATATAAAAATATTGAGATGTAAAATCTATTGTAGAAATAATTCATTATGTCTATAAAATTTTTAGATAGATATATAAATCGAGAAATTTATAATCTGTAGAACAGACATTACTTTTTATAAAACATTTCTATATAGATTGACTCACACACATTAAAACCTATCGTACATATATATATATATATATATTCGAATTTTTAAATTCTAAATTTTTAATTCTACATGAACAATGTTGTAGATTCATCATCAGTATCCGGCTAAACTTTTGTTGTGGCCAAAAGCTTGATATAATGCGCCTTGTGGGTGATCTCGAATTCCTGAGCCGGTAGAAAGCACTGCGTCTGGATCCTAGGATGCCGCAGCCGTTTAACAAGACTCCGACCAAGCATAACGAGGGCAATGAGGAAGACACCGGTTACGGCAACCACGGCCACTGCAACGAACACTTCAGCGTTTTGTCTGCTGTAGCCCTGCTCAACCATCTCGACGCAACGAAATCTTTCACGATCATCTACTAGGTTGCCGGACAACATGACGAGATTCACGTCAATGAGTTCGTCCAGACTGGCGCATACCCTGTAGTAACCTGGCCAAGACACCTCCACGTCAGTGACGAACGTGATGCTGCAATTGAGCCTTTGCCGATGAATTGCGGAAATTTCGTCAAACACGACAACGGACAATTGACAGGCCGATGCGAGGGTCATCTCCTTCGGTCTGGAAAGAATTACATCTACGTGCAAATAACCCTTGTCGGATACGTTCACGTGGACGTCGGTGATTCGGGGATAGGAGTCAAGAGGCGACTGCGTCGAAGACGTCGAAGGACGACGATTTTCTTCGCTCGGCGACTGCTCTTCCGTCGCTATCTTCCGTCGCTCCAGAGTTTCCTCTAAGACGATGACATCGCTACAGTCGAGACCGAGCGACATATCGTCGTAGGCAGTGGGTACTAGTAGAACCACACAGTAACGGTATTTATGACCTAATTGTAGATGTACAGAAGCTGGTATCGTGACCGGCAGAGTGCAGGGATCTCGCATCATCCGGGAGTCGCAATGCAACGGGCTAGATTCCGTGCGAACCTCGCTGTCGTCGATTGTTTCATAAATAATGAGTGAGTCGCAAGTATAATGTTCGGTACATTGCTCCATATGCCACAATAAATTGATGCCGGTCGATTCGTCGTAACGGAACTCTTTAAGACTTAGTTGCATTTTCGCCAGGGACGGTTGAGTCATCATGGACGGCGTGGGTTCACCGCAGAGCAGACTGCCCGGTGGTACTTGCGTCAGGACGCCGTTTTCCAAAGCGGGCGGTGTCGCGCATACTGCCGACGACTTGTCTTCCTCTAACAAGCTGGAATTTGTCAGCCAGTTGGCAAATTCCAGTAGGGTACAATCGCAATTCAACGGATTGTCGGCGAGTGAGAGTCGCTTAAGACGCAGCTTCGACGTCGGTACGTCGCTCGCCACGATCGTGATCTCGTTGTCGTCCAGTCGCAAGTCCTGCAGACTCTTCAGCGGCACCACTAGATCGGCCGTCAACGCTCGTAAAAAGTTGTGCGTTAAATCCAAGGTGGTTAGCTTCTCTAAATGCGCTAGGGAGGCACTGGACACGGCGACGATGCGATTATTCGCCAGATCCAATCGCGTCAGAGTTGACAAGTACTTAAACGAGTGATCCTCCAATACGTCAATCTGCAAATTAACAATAATTAGCTTTTAAATTTATACAAAATAATTTTAAAATAATTTTTTTTCTTATATCAAGCAAAATTTAAGCTTAATATTTTAAAAAAGATTTTCGTTTATACTATTTTAAGTAAAATCTAACTTGAATTAAGCTTTTAAGCTAATACTTGCCTGATTGTGACTCAAGCTCAAATAAGTGAGATTCCTGAGACCCATGAGAGCTCCCTGCTG